CCTATTTTTAAAGCCCTATTCTGGGTAGGACTGAAAGTGTAAGCTCCAAACATCACAAAAAGCACATTAGCAAAATTTTAGTGATCCCCAAACCAAATGTTTATTGAAGAAAAATTCAATAAGTCACTCAAAAATTCAAAAGTCACTCATGTATGACTTAAAGCTTGAATTCTATAGTTAAGAGGTTAGATGGAGCACTTCGGAAAAGCATCCAAAGACAAAGTGATCACTCTTCCATCCTTCCAGATGTGTATAGGTTAACATGAACTAACCTGTAAGCTTATTGCTCTTAGTCTAAAAAATAATAGTCTACCAGCACAACGAAATTCATGATAGCATGACCTTTTCATCCCTCTATGATACTTCACTTAAAAAAGGACCCCTTCAATACTATTTCATGAGCTCTACAGACATGTAACAAAGATCCTGAGATCGTGAAAAGAGTAAGGCATCCTGTAAGTCTTAAAGAGAAAAGAGCTAAATGTGGATAGCATGTACGGAACTGGCTGATGGTCTCAAAATTATTCAGAAGAATGGAAAATATTAATATCATAAACATTCAAACTGTATATCATTTCAGTTTGTTAGTGATAAAAACAAACGTCAAAACCAACCAACCAAAAAGAAAAATCGTAAAACTTCCCCTGCTCTTATATATAGATACATATTATTTTCTAAATTGATGTCTAATCTAGACCTTTGCAGAGCTTTTATAATATTGTAATAAATAGATCATATCTTTTCCTTCTCCACCCCATAACTTGTTACATCTAGCTTTTATCTCCAGTATTTTGTCTATTAAAAACACTAGTTATTAATGATAATAGTTTTTCACTAATTTACTGAACATTTACTTTATTTTCTCACCTTCTGCATTAAGCATATTTTATGTAAGTCTATTTTAATAAGATTCTATGTCCTATAGAATATTGCAGATATTTTTCATTGTGATGACATTATGCTTAGTGATGAAGCAATTAATTAGAGTTTAACTTTCATTATAAATTTTTGTCTACTGTGTATTTCAAAAGCATTCATCATCTTCAGAAAGCATAAACGTGACTCATATAAGTCTCACAAAAATTCTGTCAGGTAGTTACGAGTCTATTACAATAAATAGTTTTTTTCTATAATACTTAAAGTATTTTATTATATCAGTAAAACATTGGATAATATATATAGAATATAATATGTATTATCTGCTTTGCAAAAATTATTTCCACAAAATGTAAAATCATATACTACAGAATAAATCCACAGAAATGGATGGAAAGACAGGAAGTAGAAACAGCAGTAGTGACTGATGTGAGCAGTAGTGGCTCATATGATATAACAGAAACTACGTAGAAAACTAGAAAATTAAGGAGGTTACTCTATTGTTATCATAAGATACCTCTTATGAACATTTAAAAACAATATTTTTCAAGTTCTGATTGCTTCTTATGTCTGAATTTTATTTTAAAGTTACATCTTAGATATCTTAGATTTATATTTATTTTAATATCAAAATATTTTCTGTCTCTGTAATTATAGCCTGGTCTTCTCCATGTCATTTGTATTTAGCGGTGATTCTAGCATGAAAAAATCGTTTTGCATAAAATTAAACTAACTAAACTTAGAAAGCCCCTTTTTTATCTACTGACTATCTGTGTCCTGTATCAGGACACAGTAAAAACTTTAGAGAGTCTTCTGATGAACTCATCTGTGCACAGTAGCAAAGCAGCTGTTTAACACAAATCTCATTACCTATCAGATCTCACTGTTTACAAATCTGAAATTCAAGATAAGGATTATTATCCTTTTGGGTAACATTTTTGTTTGTTTTCTTTTTTTTTTTTTTTTCCCCACTTGGTTGCAATTGTGACAACTAATCATCAAATGACACCTGTCATCAAATGTGTATGTTTGATCTTAGTCACATTTTGTATAGATATGCTGGTGTGCATTTTGCCTTATATGCAACAGCAAGTACTGTTGCTGTTTTAACAGACGAGACTTCAGTCAAAGGCTGTAATAATATTCCTACTTTATATTCTGTGAGACCTTAGAAGTCTCATTACAGGAATACATTATTAAGCAGAGATTGTAAATCAAATTAAAAATAACATAAATAAAAAAAATCCCTGTGGAAATTTCTAACAAAGCTATCTAGTAGTAGATTTAACCAGTGATAATTGCATACAGAGAGAGAAGTATGTATCTTTATTGTGGGAAATTATTCCTAGTTTATGAGACCTTTGGGGACCTTACTGGCTGAAAAATAAAATGAAATGTGAGATTAAAATTGCTGGTGTTTTCTTTTTTTTTTTTTTTTCTCCCTTTAGGAAGTGGAGCCTGTAGAACTTTTTATGCATACATTCCATCTCCCAGTTCAACAGCTACAATTCTTTAGTAAGACTGTCCTTGTAATAATAAAGCATATAGTGCAATCCTTAAAAGATATGAAATCATATGTTAATTTTAACTACCCATCTAGATTTTTAGTAGTCATATGGAAGCATGTTATTCCAGACATAATTCATGAGGACACATTATATATATAAATACTACAGATTCCATGTACTTATCTATTTTGGATAAAGAATTAAAAGTGCACACATTTGCTATTTTAAGAGTTGAAACGAACTCTTTCAACAAAATTTAGCTGCTTTCATTTTCTACATGCATTTAATTTTATCTGAAAATTTTCTGACACTAGAAATAGAACAACTGTAGTTTCTCATTATGTTTGCTGCCAGAATCTATGCTTGGTTGTTCAACTAAAGACCTTATATTGCTAATTACTACCACATGCCCATATCCCAAGCAAAGGAAAACTTATTGGTTCTGACAATCCATTCTCTCATCACTGAATTCTAAATGAAAACTTAAATTTTGGCCAAACATAACATTTCATCAATCTTGTTCTACTGACTGCAAAAGCAACATCAAACAGGGATTGTTAATAGCTTTTTACTGTGCAGTTCCCAAGCTTAGATTCTCTGATGAAAGACCCACATGAGCAAAAGACTTCTTTTAACTACTTAGTAATTAACATTTGAACCAGAAAACAATGCATAAAGTAAATTGAAAATTTAGTATGTTGATGACAGAGATGAGTTCCAATTGACAAGTTATATGGGCAGTAGAGGTCAGCAGAGAAAGCACTAATGACAGTGAGCTAAAAACAAGTAGATAGTGCATATAAAGACAAAAAGAAAAGGTGAGAAATTGAAATGAAGAATGCCCCAAAGCTATCAGGAAGTCTTTGATCTAGAGTTGAGGTTTTCAGGATATGGGGTTCTGACTGAAGATCAAGTCCAAGTTCAGAGACATCAGAGCAATGCTAGGTACTAGTGACAATGTAGAAGGGGGGAGACTACAACTCTGTACGCAAAATAGTTTTAAAGCCACATTTACATCTGCCATAACTCTTTTGTAGCTTCAAAACCAAAAACATCAATTCTCCATTTAGAAAACCTCTCTTGAGAAAACAGGTATGAATACAAGTATGAAGCTGAGTAGGCCTCTGTTACAAATAAACATTTTGGGAAATTAATGACACTTCTTTCAGAAATACAGTGCAAGTTTCCAACATTAGTGTTTGCCAGAAAAGAAAAAACAAAGCAAAGCAAAACAAAACAAAACAAAACAAAAAAAAACACTTTAGACGTTTGAGGGTAGCTTAAAAACAGAATTATTGAAGTTGTCATTTATATGCTTATTATTCGTTAATTACTATAAGATATAACTAACACCACCACCAACAAAAAAAAGGATCGATCTACCTGGCGATGTAAATCAGTACTCTTGAATTAGTTCTGTGGGGCATTTGCAGTCTTTCTGCTCCACAAAGAGGAGAAAGAATTTACCATAATGCACATCTATGAAATGATGCATGGGTGATAATTTGAAAGGAACAAGGTGAAAAATATATCTGCTTGAAGTACAGAGAGGGACAATTAATTAGATATGTTTCTTGGAGATCTTTCGTATTGTTCTATGGAAGCAATTTCATATAACTTGTTGTTCAGGGGACAAATGTATTTTTTTATAGTGAAAAGTGAATTTCATAATGATATGTAATGACACAGAGGATGGCAACGTTAATGGTGATATAAAGAAGAAAATAATATATCTATAAGTACATCTAGTTCATTAAAGGCTATACGCCATCAGGTCTAGATGCTGGGAATGCCATAATAAGCTAGTTTTAACTTGGTAAAGAAACAGGCTTTCAAAAGAAACGAAATAAGCTAATGTGGTGTAATAAAGGTAGCTGTTGCTAGAAGACAAAATTATTATTATTATTATCATACTTCACTGATCCTAAAGCTACTACTTTCTCTTTTTAAGATAGACTTTACAAGGTTAGTGGAAGAGATCACTTTAAAAACCCCTCGTCATAGATCCTAAAACTATGATTTTGTGCAATATCCATTTACAGTTAATAGTTGGTGCATGAAATCTGAATCTGTTTCAACATTTTTCATATTGAAAGATTTCTTATTGAAGGTTTTTCTTATTGAAACACCACTATTAATTGCCTGACAGAGTTATGGAATAACCTGATAAACATAAATATTTTATACAACAGCAAACTGGAGTTTTGTAGTCTGAGTGGTATCCAGGTTTTCTTGAAGAAGGGCCAAAATGTTGTGACATAGCGCAGCATAGCCCAGGTCTCTGTAGTGTGACAATTCTCCAGTGGTAACATCTGATATCGAAGAATACAGCCTTTTAAGCTGTTAAGTCAGCTATTACCACCTTCAGGGGCTGTTCAAAGTCACACAACCACACCTGCTTTTTTTTGACTTACTTTCTGCCTCGAGTTGAGTTAAAAGTCCCGCCGTATTTCTTCCGATTAAGGATGAGAGCAGCAATTTCTGGCACGTAGCGAGCAAACATTGCCTACATGCATGAAACAAAAACACAAAAAAAAAAAAAAAAAAAAAAAAGAAAATGGCATGCAGAGAGTGTTCTACTGCAGCAGAGGCAGCAGAGCCTCTTGGGATACTTACTTTCTTCCACTAACCGCACTATAGGAACCACCATATTTCTTGCGGTTTCCTATTAACTCTATGATTTCAGGGACGTAGCTGGCAAACATGGCCTAAGAAGAAGATAGGAGACAGAAGAAAAGACTAAAAAGAGAGGCCAAAGAAAGGGGGATGATGAATATTTTCAGAAGATATATATATCTTTAAGATCTGAAAATGCAAAAGAATTAGATTTGGGAAGGTGTTTAAAAAAGAAAATTTTAAAAATGTAAAAGTTCTTATCAAACAAAACATGAGGGTTCAATGTAAAAGTTGGTCTTGGAGAAGGTGCATACTTTATAAATTAAGAAAATGGTAAAAAAGGGAAAATGGGCTCACAAAACAAAACAAGAACAAAATGAATTCAAATTGCAATCTAATCATAAAGTACAGTTAGGTTTAATTCTTCCTGTAAAGGGGAGGGGAAAAAAACTATCCATCTCCACTGCAAAAACCAAAACCAAGTATTACCATAACGGTTGCATTTCTATTTTAAAAGACAGATTTGTTCCCCTGTGATTAGGATTTAAACAAACACAAAAAGATGTAGTGAGGGTCAATGCCCCTGCTGAGAAACAAAACAGTCACCACCACCACCCCCCCCAAAAAAAAAAAAAAAAGGAAAAAAAGGAAAAAAAAACACAAAAGTTTATGTTTTTTAAAAGGATTGGAATAACATGTGATAGGAAAAAAATAAAAAATAAAAAAAGGGTTTAAGGAGAAAAAAAATATTCTGCCATGTTTTGTCCAACAAACATCTTCCTTGTGGCTGGATACTTCGAAGAGCTACTGCCAGTTAGCATGGTCTCTCTCTTCATGTCAATAAACATAGATGGGAATGCATATATATATGTGTGTGTGCGTGTGTCTGACATATATGGCATTCATAACATCAGTTACATACATATCACCTTTGTAAGATGTATGTATATGTGAAATCAATATATAAGAATAAAATAACAATACATGTGTATGTATGTCAATTAACATATACTGTTAATCATCTGTAAAGAACTTACCTTGCACTGTATGAATAAACCTTGCTGTTTTAGAGAGAAACATTGCAACAGGCCCCATAATATTATTAATATTGACATATAATAGAAAAGTTGACACAAGACAAGTAGCAACTTTGTTGCTATGTATGTACAGGACAAAGAACACCAGAATTTGCTGATATAAAATGATTCTGGTTATGGCCATGGTTTGTGTGATAAACTGTGAGTTAAAATTGTACTACATGACATGAAAAGATGTTTGAAATTAAAGAGAATGTGGTTTGCCACCAGGATCCGGCAAGCTGCTCTTTAAGGCAGTCCAAAGCCACAGTGTTTGTTGGAATTCTGGGAAGGAACACAGAAGGGTGGGTAGACTTCTGAAACCGCAAAGTGTCTCTAAGTAACAACAGCATCCTCAAAAAATGCCCTACACTCGGTCACTGGAAAGTAAAAAACTAGGAATAAGTTTATAAGTGGAAAGGCTAAAGCACTTATTCACATGCATTACGCATTTAAGAGGGACAATAACAATTCTGACTCCACTACCTGACAAGCTCTGCCAAATATTAATCTACAGAATAAAATATGGTGTGCGTCAAACTTATTTAAGAGTTCAATAATTAATTTTAATTTACTAAGCCATATATTATTATTTCTTCAATTATAGCACTGAGATATAAAAGGTCAAGTTTTAACGTAGCAGGAATAAATAATAAGTAACAAAATTATTATTTTACCAATCCTCCAAGGATGAAGAAGACCATGAAAAGGCGACCAAGGGTTGTTTTTGCATAAACATCTCCATAACCAACAGTGGACATTGTAACCATCAGTAAATAAACACATTCCCAATATGTTAGCTGTTGATTATTTTGGAAATTTTCCCATGGATCCCCTGAGTTCTCCACCTAAAATGTACAAGAAAATATATTATTAATAATTAAAGAAGTAACAAAAATCAACTCTACTGATAAAGATATATATATATCAGCATCACAGAATCACAGAATTATCTAGGTTGGAAGAGACCTCAAGATCATTGAGTCCAACCTCTGACCTAACACTAAGTCCTCCACTAAACCATATCACTAAGCTCTACATCTAAATGTCTTTTCAAGACCTCCAGGGATGGTGACTCAACCACTTCCCTGGGCAGCCCATTCCAATGCCTCACAATCCTCTTGCTAAAGAAGTTCTTCCAACCTAAAACTCCCCTGGTGCAACTTAAGCCCATTCCCCCTCGTCCTGTCACCAGGCACATGGGAGAATAGGCCAACCCCCACCTCTCTACAGCCTCCTTTAATGTACTTATAAAGAGCGATAAGGTCGCCCCTGAGCTTCCTCTTCTCCAGGCTGAACAAGCCCAGCTCCCTCAGATGCTCCTTGTAAGACTTGTTCTCCAGACCCCTCACCAGCTTCATCACCCTTCTCTGGACTCGCTTGAGCACCACCATGTCCTTCTTGTAGCGAGGGGCCCTAAACTGAACACACTACTCGAGGTGCGGCCTCACCAGAGCAGAGTACAGGGGGACGATCACCTCCCTAGCCCTGCTGGCCACACTGCTTCTTATGCAAGCCAGGATGCCGTTGGCCTTCTTGGCCACCTGAGCACACTGCTGGCTCATATTCAGCCGACTATCCACCAATACTCCCAGGTCCTTCTCTGCCTGGCAGCTTTCCAACCACTCATCTCCCAGCCTGTAGCTCTGCTTGGGGTTATTGGGCCCCAGGTGCAGGACCCGGCACTTGGCCTTGTTGAACTTCATACAGTTGACCTCAGCCCATCGGTCCAGCCTATCCAGATCCTCCTGCAGAGCCTTCCTACCCTCGAGCAGATCGACACACGCACCTAACTTGGTGTCATCTGCAAACTTACTGAGGGTGCACTCGATCCCCTCGTCCAGATCATCAATAAAGATATTAAAGAGGACCGGCCCCAGCACCGAGCCCTGGGGAACGCCACTAGTGACCGGCCTCCAGCTGGATTTGACTCCATTCACCACAACTCTTTGGGCCCAGCTATCCAGCCAGTTTCTAACCCAATGAAGCGTATGCCAGTCCAAGCCACAAGCAGCCAGTTTCTTGAGGAGAATGCTGTGGGAAACAGTGTCAAAAGCCTTGCTAAGTGTCAACCACATCCACCGCCTTTCCCTCATCCACCAAGCTCATCACTTTGTCATAGAAGGAGATCAAGTATTTCAAGCAGGACCTGCCTTTCATAAACACATGCTGACTGGGCCTGATTGCCTGCTTGCCCTGTAAGTGCCACGTGATGACTCTCAAGATAATCTGCTCTATGAGTTTCCCTGGCACTGAGGTCAAACTGACAGGCCTACAGTTTCCCGGGTCTGCCCTCCAGCCCTCCTTGTAGATGGGCATCATGTTTGCTAGCCGCCAGTCGACTGGGACCTCCCCCAACAGCCAGGACTGCTGATAAATGATGGTAAGCGGCTTGGCCAGCTCCTCCGTCAGTTCTCTCAGTATCCTTGGGTGGATCCCATCTGGCCCCATCGACTTGCATTCATCCAAGTGCCATAGCAGGTCACCAACCATTTCCTCATGGATAGTGAGGGCCACATTCTGCTCCCCATCCCCTTCCACCAGTTCAGGGTACTGGGTATCCAGAGAGCAACTGTTTTTGCCGCTAAATACTGAGGCAAAGAAGGCATTAAGCACCTCCGCTTTTTCCTCATCTTCCGTAACTAAGTTCCCCCCTGCATCCAGTAAAGGCTGGAGATTCTCCTTAGTCCTCCATTTTGCATTAATGTATTTGTAAAAACATTTTTTGTTGTCTTTGACGGTAGTCGCCAGATTGAGCTCTAGATGAGCTTTGTCCTTTCTAATTTTGTCCCTGCACTGCCTTGCAACATCCTTATAGTCCTCCCGAGCGGCCCACCCTCTTTTCCAAAGATTGTAAACCCTCTTTTTCCTGCTAAGCTCAAGCCACAATTCTCTGTTCAGCCAGGCCGGTCTTCTTCCACGCCGGCTCGTCTTTGGGCACGTGGGGACAGACCACTCCTGTGCCATTAAGATTTCCTTCTTGAAGAGTGTCCAGCCTTCCTGGACTCCTCTGCCCTTCAGAACCTCCTCCCAAGGGTCTCTGCCAACCAATGTCCTAAACAGTTCAAAGTCGGCCCTCCGGAAGTCCAATACAGCAGTTTTACTGGTCCCCTTCCTGGCTTCTCCGAGAATGGAGAACTCTACCATTTCATGGTCACTCTGCCCAAGACAGTTTCCAACCACCACATCTCCCACCAGTCCTTCTCTGTTTGTGAAGAGGTCAAATTTCTGTGTTGGCACCAGCCTCTGAGCCACGTTTTTATCAGGTGGGCTTTCTGTGTCCTCTCAGTACCCCTCCCTGCCACCGTAGGGATGGACGAAAACACCACCTGTACTCCCGCTCCATCCACTAACTGTCCCAGTCCCCTAAAGTCTCGTTTGATGGTCTTCAGGCTTCTCTCTTCAATGTCATCACTGCCAGCCTGGACTGTTAAAAGAGGATAATAGTCAGAGGGGCGAACCAGGTTGGGAAGCTTTCTGGCCATGTCCCTGACCCTGGCCCAAGGGAGGCAGCAGACTTCCCTACGGGTAGGCCGACAAATAGGTCCCTCTGTTCCCCTGAGAAGGGAGTTGCCCACAACAATCACCCTTCTTTCTGTCCTGGTGGAGGCAGTCCTGAGACATGGAGTCAACTTCCTTGCCCTAGGCATCCTCCTGGGTAGACTTTCTACCTCTTCCTCAGCTGCCGCTCTCTCAAGCTCCAGGGCTTCAAACCTGTTGCGTAAGGGCATGTGTGGAGATGGGGCCGGTGAGAGAGGGCATCACCTACAATGTTGAGCAGGGACCTGTTTCCATTCCTCCTCAACTCCTAGGTCCCCTCCCTCTGCCTGACAACAGCAGGGCAGGGGGTCCACCCCCATTTGGGGTGTCTCACCCCAGTGCCTGTCCTTCAGGCCACGCAGGGAGTCGCTCCACAAGTCTATCTCCCACTCACACTCCCTGATATCCCTCAACCTCTCGACCTCCTCCTTGAGTTCTGCCACGAGGTGGACCAGGTCATCCACCTGCTCGCACCTCATGCACACAGTCTCTTTGCCCCCCGCAGGTGGTAGCAACAGGCTCAGGCACTGCCTGCACCCGGAGACCTGAACTGCCGCAGTTTTGAGCAGGCAGTCGGTCTGGGTGTGTACAGGCTTGCTGGAGAGCGCGCTGTGCCTGGTGTACACCATTGCAGCTGAGCTAGCGGTAGACCACCATTAGAATTAGAGAAGGTGTTCGTATGGGCCGGGGGGAACGCTCTGGCCTTCCTGCTTGCCCTGCCTGTGCGAACTGCCACACCACGCCCTGTTTGCCCGTCCTGTTAACTGCAGCACTCCTGGTCGCTTGCGCTCCCTAGGGGCAGCTTTTGAACAGCCGGGGAGGGGGCGCTGCTGGCTCCGCCTACGCCTCCTTCTTGCCTCGTTCACCTCCCTCGAGAGGGCTGCTGGGTCCTGTCGGCTCACTTGAGTGCCGGCAAAATTAGACCTGCCTGTCCAATCCCCCGCTCCGCTGCAGAACGTGTCTGCCCCAGAGCCGATCGCCTCGGCAAGTGGCCATGTAATATAAACTCTGGATCCTTTCCTGTGATTTATTTTGAAGAAACAGAGAACCTAAGCCTGCCCTTATTATAGCCTTATAGTTCTTTTGTCAATATGTGTAGTCTTGTCACTAATACTGTTTAGGGACAACATGTTTCCCCAATCACTAAATAATACATGTATAAATTATTTATTTAAAAAGAACAATAGGGTTCATTTCATACCAGTTTGTTCAGATATTTTCCAGTCTATGTTACTTCTAATGCATTCATACTGCTTAATGTTTTTGTTTTGAAACATGCAGTTATTAATAGCATTAGTGATATGCTGAGTTTCATGATGCACTACTACACAACCATTTTTACCAATCATTATTGGAAAGCTATTGTATGTGATAAAGGTAAGTTAAGTTATAACTTTATAAATGGGAAAGGAGTATACACTCTATAATTTCTATTAAAAGTTGTTCCACAGTAGGATGCTTGGAGTTTGAGAATTCCTACAGCAGAGATGTTTAAATATATATATATATATATATATATATATGTACACACACACACATATATATATATACACACATATATACACACACACACACAACACAAAACAAAACATCTGAAACTTCCTAAGGATGAAAATTAAATGCTAAACATGTCTCCCTGGTAACCATTGACAGGACATTTGTGAATGGCACAAAGCTGTGCCAGGGGAATTTTCAGACTACACACTAGAAAAATTTATTTACAATGAGGGTGATCAAACACACACAAACATAGGCTTCCTAGCAAGACAGTTGATGCCCCATGCCTGTCAATGTTCAAGTGGCATTTAGATAATGTCCTTAATAATATGTTTTAACTTTGGTTAGCTCTGAAGTGTCCAGGGAGCTTGACTTGATGTTTCTAAGTCTCTTCCAACTAAACTATTTTATTCTATTCTAAATGAATTCTGGGATAACTAGAAGATAAACAACTGAATTTCATGTTATATAGGTGAACATATGTACTGGGTCTGGCTGGAATGTCAACTTTCCCTGCAGCAGCCCATACAGTGCTGTACTCTGCACTTGTAGTTGGAACAGCAGTGTTATCACACCAGTGTTGTGTCTACTGCTGAGCAGTGCTGGCACAGCATCGGGCCTCTCTCTAACCTTCCTAGAGGGTGGGCAAAAAGTGAGAAGAGAAACATCACCAGGGCAGCTGACCTAAACCAACCAAATGGATATTCTATACCATGGGATGTCACACTCAGCAATAAAAGGTGGAAACAGGAAGAAGAGGGGAAGGGTGGGCTCTTGTGAAAACGTCAGTCCTCCTCCCGAACACCGACTACGTGTGTTGAGGCCCTGCTTCAAGGACGTGGTCAATCATTGCTCATTTGTGGGAAGTAGAGAGTAATTTCTTTCCTCTGCACTTCCACATAGCCTTTATTTGTTTTATTTGTTTGTTTTCCTCCCTTTTTTTATTATTATTTTCCCTTTGCCCCTCCCTTTTCCCCTTTTCCTTTATATTTCCCTTTAGTTAAATTGTTTAGTTCATAATAATATTTATTTAATTATTATTATTAATTGTTTAATTATTAAACAATTATTTTATTTTATTTTATTAAATTATCCTTATCTCAACCCATGAGTTGTTCTTTGCTTTACTTCTCCCCCTCCTCATCTAAAAAGAGGGGGAGTGAGAGAGCGGTTGTGGGATTTAGCTGCCCAGCACGGTAAAACCACCACAACATAGCACAAGGTAATTCAAGTAAAGTCAATTAAATTACTGTAGATTAACATGATTATCATCAAATTATAATATGACTCCAAAACCATTCCAGAATAACTTATTACTACTAGCACCTCAAAATTTTCCTGATTCTAAGTTGGTCTTAGAGGACAAGTCCTCTAGTCCACATCCTTTGTCCTTAGTGGACAATACTTCAAATACTTAAACATATTTAATTATATTGATTAAATAATTTAGGAAAAGCTTATGGTTTTAAATGAATACAATTGACATATATCTTTCATATAAAATAATATTAAAATTTATAAAAACATACATAATTCTATACTAAGTATCTCACATTTTACAGGCATTTTTAAGAGCAGGATAAAAATGTATGAAAAAAAAAATAATAATCTGTATTTAGTGAAGGATGCATCCAAAAAAATGAAATTTAAGATCAAAACAGAAGGCATGCTATCCCGAATGTTAGCAATCCTATTACTTCTGGTGGAAATACAGATTATTTTATTTTATTTTATTTTAATTTTCCTGGTACAACCATTGATTTACCAGGACCTCACTCAATTCAGGCTCTACCAACCCCTTCCAGGAAGCACTTTCAGGTAGTTACTTGGGAAACATTGCCACCTACTGGTAAATTGCAATCGTTCAAGAAGTTGCATCAGTTCAAGCCTCATACTTAACTATTGCTGAACCCAAATAAAATGTTAATGACGTATTACTTACTATTCAGAACAAATTTTGAGTAAAAGTCTTAACAATTGGAAACTGTGATGTCTTTTTTGTTTGTTTGGTTGGTTTTTAATTGTACTCAGTAGATGTACCAAGCGGTTAATCAGAGCAAGAAAATTTCAAGTAATAGAGTAATTCAAATAGCAGGTGATCCATGAAAAAAGCTGAAGAAATATTTTCAAACATACTTACCAAATGTATGAACCCAGCTGCTGTCAGCCATGTGCTGATAAATATAGAGCACAGATTCACAAGCTTGATGGAATTACTGTGGAGGGTAAAAAAAAAAAAAAAAAAAAAAAAAAAAAAATGTATACTGATATTTATCATTCATTTTTACTACGTACTTGCATAAAACTGTATATTCTAGACTGGAAGACTCTCATGATGATTTCTGAACAGAACCAAGCTCCCTAAAAAAACCTTAATCAATGGCTTATGTGAAACGTATTATTTTTGACTTTGCAGCGATCGCATTTGTGTAAGTTAGATGGTTTGAAAGAGCTAACAAATGGATTGAAAAGGAAACAAACTACAAAAGTTCAAATGGATCTGAGAGCAGAAGGATGAACAGAAACCTTAGCTACATCTGGACTCCTAACAAGATAAGTAAAAAAAGAAACCTTCCAGAGAAATGAAACAAACTCTTTTTAGTCTCACTGAGTAGTATATGCCCTACTGTAGTCAGAATTGATTTTGAAGCAACTACCTCACTCTGAGTTCAGCAGGAAAATGCCATACTTAACAGCCTCTGGGTGAGGTTTAGGTGAAGTGTGGTCCCTCTGTTACAAAAATCACTATGATTTGAAAAGCTAGGAAGGATGTTCAAATAAATATTCAATGAACTGAAGTTCATGTATTATTATGTCTAAATGATCTTAACCATTCATGAAATTGTATTGAAAGCAGCTGTCCTTTGTTTTTGGAAACACATCTAAGAAAGAGCGAAGCCTCAGAAAAATCCCTATTATCCCCAGAGCAATATGTTCCAAAAAAAGGAAAATATGGAAAAACTCACTATCAATGTGTATTACTACCATGCATTAATTTCTAAACAAAGTTGAGAACTGAACCTGGGAAATAAGGCAGACATTAGCTCCACTGGAGACTTCTTTTAAGAATTACAGTTGATGAAATGGGCATCTGTAGGGACTAGGAAAGATGCACAGTTGCTATAATGATTATTGTACTCAAAATTCTGATGTTATAACTTCAGTTTTGCAATTAATTGATGTTCATGCACATCAAAACATTCCCTGTTTCACTTTCTGGAGGTATGGTTGATTAATATTCATATTTTGTTGATGATCCCATTCAATCATAACACAAGACTCTAACCCATATGTTCTAAGATTAAACAAAATGATAAATATCACGCTGATGCAAAGTTCCATTATGAATGGCTAAATATCATCATTCACCTGAATTTAGGCCAGGAGAAACTCCTGATGTAATAATGCGTCAGCTGGTCTCCACATATTACTGTAATACAAGTAAATGCTAGCAGTCATTGAAAATAACTATTTACATAATTTGTCTGTAACAATTTTGCAAGTTTATTAAAAATTGCACCTTTTCTGTCCTCTATGAAATACTCCTGTTTCTACCATAGTCTAAATATAGATGAAGGATTAGTCACAAACATTTTCCTGCTCTTTAAGCTCTTTCCAACATCTGTGCAAAATCCCTTACTGTGAGTCCTAAGTCCCTGTAGTTTTGTTGAAAAATATTAGAAAACAGTGAAGTGGAGGAGAGAAAATTTCAACTCAACAACAGACAATTCATTATATTTCATAAACATGGGAACTAAAAAAAAAAAATATGAGTAAGATTCACTTTATTTCAAACTAGGGAAACAAATAAATCATAGGCAGAGTATTGTCTCTTAATAGGGCACTGTCAAGCTTTGCTTTTTTCGTATAGATTCTTTTTAAATATAATTGATAATTTTTAATATATTGTCATAATTATCACTATTTTGCTAGTCTTCTCACTGCCTCTGTTTTTGCAGTGTTTAACTTCTTCCTTTGGACTCTAGTATTTCACATGGCCCTTCTTGTGTACTGAGTGACTGAGATGTGTTCCTTTAATCCTCATATCCCCATCAGTAACCAGTAGTAATTTGCATTTAAAGTAAAATCTTTTATTTAATGAAGGAAATAGGACAAGGAGGACAGAGCTGCTTCTCTAATTGCACCAAATATTAAAAACATAGCAGTGCCCTTCATACCCTATCAGTTTCTTGTCCTGTCAGCAGTTATTTTTTATTAGTTTCAAGCACACTAAAATACCTTTAGATTAATCCTTTCCATATTTTTCATATGAATACATCTCACCTTAAACAAAGATCTTAATTATTATTATTATTTTCATAATTTTATATACATGTTCAGTTTCTTTTCCTGTAATATCATTTATGATGTTGAAAAATTCATTGAAAATTAGAAATGGATTGCAAGAAAAGGTGAAATTTCTTTTTCTTCCTTTTTAAAACAAAACAAACAAAAAAAAAACTGAGCATAATTTGAGAATTTTATTTATTTATTTATTTTTTAACTCAGCAAAACAATGTTGCAGTAACTGGTCAAAAGTATGCAATACAAAATAAGAGTTTAAGGTAACAATAAGATTTAATGGCTACTGTAATTGAAACTGCTCAATTTTAGGTAAGTAAATTTTATTTAAGAAAAAAAAAATAATAATAATGAAGACAATAGATTAAATGCTCTATCTCTTGCAAAACTACTGAAGATTGACCATTTGCAAAAAGTGCTTTTTTGCTTCCCTGAAAGATTAATAATGCGGAAATAGAAATAGGCCAAGAAAATAGTATTCTTGTACTGTAACAGCATATTCACTTATCTCAGACCACCTCTGCTAAATAGCTTTTATTTATGGTGGTAGTTTAGAATATGCTGAAAAAAAAATATTTCTCATTTGAATTTAGCAGTCATAGTAACAAACTTTTTTTTTTGTTATTTCTGCAAGTCAAATCCATGTAAAATAAATAAAAAAGACTCACATTTAGTTACATGTCAGATGTAACTAAAAACTATTCTAAAATAAATAGAATTTTTGTCCATTTGTTGTAGTTTGACTCATCCACTTCACAAAATGCTGCCTTGTGAACATCAATAGTAATCCCAGTTATTATATTCATTTCAGGCTTATTAAGTAAGATACAAAAAAGAACAGATGAGGTGTTCTTCCACTGAAGAACTAGGAACAGGCAGAGACATAAAATGAGACACTGACTGTTGATGAACTGCTGGGGGTTTTATCAGCTGAGTAAACTGAAACAGACAAGTCAGAAAGTTCTGCCTTATAAACTTTATAAAATAGTCAGCATTTGGATTTTACAGATATTTGGGCATTCCGATAAGATAATTACAGAGATGACAACTAATCTAAGAGTTAATTTTGAATGAACAGGTCAATCTTGAAAAAGTGAGCTCTGAACTTAATTAATTCAATATCCCTTCATTTATCAATCTGGAGGTTTACAAATCTAACACATTTGAAAGGGACTTTTAGCCTTTATCCAAAAATTGCTGAGTTTCTGGGACTTTTCCGTTGATTGCTATGTCTTCTGTTGAGGTTGTTCAGTGTGTTGCAAACTTATTGGATAGTCTGTGCTCCTGGACAAATTATTTCCTTTCTTTACCAAACCTGTAATATTCTAAGCTGCTGGGCTGTAACTTTTACTTTTATTATTTTCTCTACTTGACAACAGCTGGATTTCTTATAGTCACATAGCTGAAGACAGATTTGGCAGTTCCAGAGCACAGAAAATAATTTTAAGGTTAAGGAATGAAGAAACAGCTGTGTACCATGATTGCTTACAAATCTGAAAGTTTTTTTTTGCCCACAACTAACAGAGCATGCTCTGCTATTATTAACATAGCATGTAGACAGCTATTTGTATATTAAATCCTCACACATGCACCTCAACTGATAGAGAGAGCATAGGAATAGAGAGAGCATAGGAGTTCAGAACGGAATTGAGTACTTGCTGGAAGTTAGGTTCAATACTTCAGCTGGAGTAATTTAGGAAATGATGAAAGGCAAAGTATCTACTGCTGTGAGGCATGGGAAGGTTCCTTTTTTGTTGCTCAAAATCATCTTTTTTTTTTTTTTTTTTTTTAAAGTTATGCTTTTTTTATATGACTATCATGTATTAATGGTGCAAAGAATCAGCAAAAACCAGAAAGTTAACTGGGGAAATATAACATATTCTTTGAAAGGAATGCTAATGACAATGAGCACAAAATAAAGACAGCTGAGTGTAAAAACTTATTATTTAAAAAAAAAAAAAAAAAAATTAGCTGTATTCGATTGTTTGAATTTTGATTTCTGTTTTGGCAAGGCAGTAGAATACTAACTGATAATGTGAAAAGAAATAATATCTAATCAATGAAGAAGTCTGTAATTCATTCAACTTTTAGTTTATCTGCATTCAGATATTCTAAATAAAACCTTCTACAGATAACATGGAAAAAGATACTTACACTGGTAAATCATTCATAAGCAAAATAAAAGCTTTAAAGAACAGATAATGAGTAGGTGTCTTACTTATTTATTTTTATTCCCCACAAAAGAAAATCATATATTACTAGGACCACAAACAAAAGCCATTTCTGTTCTGCCATCAATACACAATACATAAGGAAATGTCTTACCTTGTTTTAAGGATATTCAAAAACTGCAATATTTCTGAAAACTGTATCAGCCTAAGGGCTCTTAAAAATCTTAAACCTGCAAAAAAAAAAAAAAAAAAAAAAAAAAAAAAAAAAACTATAGTAAAGAAAGTAAAGAATAATCCATATTGTAATAGCATTTCACTTCCAACAACAGTGACCAGTGAAATCAACGGAGGTAGCATACAAAATGTCAAATACCTTTGAAGTGTTCTTCCATATTTAACAGTTCCAAGATCCTAACCATGACTTTTTCAAATTGTTTTAAATTTAATTCTTTAACTGCTGAAGTATCCTACCAGAAAGCCTTAGTTTAGGTAGGAAGCCATTGGAGGCTTATATAGGCTGAAAACTAAGGGGAAAAAAAAAAATCACTGCTGGGAGTTCTAGTACACATGACTTTCTCTTCCAGACTGCCAAAGACACAAACACATCATAAACTTCTCATTCCTCCAACCTCCCACATTGCTTAGTGAAAAATAAGAGATTATGGGCAAGAGATCTGATAACCCAGATAAGCTAGACTGTGGATATGCCTGATTAAACTGGTAAATCTTAATGACGTAAAATCATTTATTGTAATAATGGTCTCTATCTCCACCCCAATTTCCAAAAATTCAACCAGAAGAACAGGCAGAGCACACACTCTCTCCTAAAAATTAAGATCTGATATATAATTCTGCATAATAATAGGTTACACTCTATTAAAAGTAGCAATTTTTACACAGAAATAGCATTTTGTGTTGAATTCAGGTTGCCTGAATAAGCAATTCTCAGGCAACTGAAAAGCCAGTGAAAGGAAGTATGCAAGAGAAAATAGTATAAAGGATTAAGGGCTTAAATTATTAAGAGAGACAAACTGGTAGTAAATTGTCTGCAGATCTTTGGCATATGAATAAAGGTACATAGCACAGTCTACACATGCACAACTTAAAAAAAAATAAAATAAGGCTTTGAGGAAAATTTGTAGTAGACAGTGCAGATAAGAGTTACATAAAAATCATGTAATATACTATTGTGGATGTTACAGTTGTGTTTAGGGTTGCTTCATCTCATATTATCCTTCTTTATTGACACATTTCACCTACTTCCAGTGCTATAAACCACTTTTTTTCTTTCCAGAAATTTAAAGAAAGCGTGATCCTGGCAAACATATAAACTTGGGCACAACCTTCCTCTTCTCAATGTGTAGAGGTTCCCCTCAAAAGCAAAGATGCATGTGATGAGATGTGTGTTAAATCACGTCTTTCTCTCCACAATACTCTAGGAAAGTTGCTAAATATATTTTATTTTTTACTCTTGGTAACGAGACAGGGAACAAAATAAAGGATGTTGATTCTGTAGGTCTTAGCTAGCTAGTATGTTAACGACCCCAAAGATAAGGGAGTAAAAAACTGTATGCGAAGAACCAGAAAGAACTAGCTTGACTGCTGAAGTCTGTCAAAGGAAGGGTCAGGAATTTAGAAGACTTGTAGCCTTCATCAGAAGACCACCAGAGCACACCAGATGACCACCCAAGGACTCCAGTATGCATGTGAATAGGTGCGGGAACCTACATTAATGATTCTTCGGAGGCTTGACTTACTGGGGGGGGTGGGGGAGATGAAATGAATATGTATTTGTCACACTAATATAAACACAAACACACTCCCAGTAACCCTTGGTGTGTGTGTGTTAGGCAGAGCGATCCCCCCCCTCCCTACAGCCAGTGCTGTAATAAAGAATACCTGCTTAATAACTTTGGTTATTGAGTTTTCACTCCATCAGTAAGGTTCATAAATAGCCACAAGTGTAGAAAATATCTCTTATCTGTGCATCACAAACATATAGTTTCTTTTTAATTAATGGCTATGTAGAAATATGAAGATTAATCTTAACTTAAAAAGTGGATTTGGGAATCTAAGCAAAAAAAAGCAATAAAATGATACTTAATAATTCTAAATTACAGATCCATTTGAAAGAAGAGAATAATCATTTTAGATTATAGTTCTCACATTGAGAGAGACATATCCCTCTGCTGTACTTGCAGTAGTTCCCACAAATGGTACAATTCAAAATTATGTGCATTTTGAAACTGTCCATCACTCCACTCCCTAGCAACTTTTTAATAATTGTGTGGTCAGAGAAAAATCCCTCATTTCAAATGCACGGCATCTTAAGAGAAGTTAATGAGCTATCCATTGCAATGTTTCAAAATAAAGACTCAAATTTAGCAGTGAAACCTTTGCTACCAGTCTTACAATGTTTGAGATATATTTTACTTGCTACAACATTGAATAATAGAACAAAAACTGTAGCTTCAGTGTATACTTTGCTGAAGAAGAAGAAAATCTTTACAAATTAAGTTCTGCATTTGCTACAGCCTGCACTATTTTAAAGAATTCCCTTTAGAATTTGAAATGTGTGTGTGTGTGTGCGCGCGCGTGTGGTGAGGCTTAAAAGCTCAGCTTACTTGGTCTACAAATAGAAGTGGCTTGTAAAAATTCACCATGTAACCTTTATATCTTTTGTAGGACATTACTAGTGAGGTTGTGTTTTATAGCTGAAGTAATTATTACACAGAATGGATCAAATTTTGATTCTCAGAAACCTTAGGGTATTACCTACTCTGTGTGGCTCACCTGTGAGTAAAAATGAAGAGAAAATGACAATTTTCCTTACCATCACAGTATATGAATACTTTCACAAAATTTTGGGGTCTCTTTTCAAGAACCAAATGGTACTATTATTAGATTCCTACACCCATGTAATTTTAAATGATTTTTTGTACTTCCTGTCTTGCAAATAATGAGTTTCAACACACTAGAAAGAATACGATATTTCCTATGTTCATAGTATCAAGCCATAACAAGGCATAAAGCCTATGAAAAGGCACTAGAAAAAGGAGGACCCTCTAGATGATATTGAAAACTTAATAGTCAAATTACCATGATACTATATGATACTACTTCATATTTTCTAGAAAACACATATATTATATAATTATCTTTTGTACAGAAATCAAACATTTTAGAAATATTTAATTTTTGTAACTAGGCTTACAAAGAAACAAGCAGCATCTGGGAGTAGCATTTTTTGTATAAACCACTGTGACAAAGGCAGACTGTTTGCAAATAAGGCTGAAAGGCTTATTGTCAAAGGTTTGAGTAGGGAAGAAGTCTATATAAAGTAGAAAAAATCAGGAACATGTATAACAATGGGACATTCCAAAACAGCCTAAAAAAGAGCTCTGAAAAGTGATCTGAGCTAAACAGACAAAAGAACTGGACAATGGTAGGAGTACAGCTGGCAGGTTGGAGTAACTTTATTTCTGGGTACTTATAGTATCCTGCTCTCAAGTTTTGAGTTTGGAAGTAACAGTTCATTGCCTGTTTGTAAATGAAATCCATTATGCCTACAGTGTTTATCCCCCATAACACCATTAACACAGAATCAATCAGCCAAAACAACTCTACATATTAGAGGCAAATTATACTAATGTGCATATCTCTCCAGCGGGGTATCTTCAAACCACATAAAAACTGGGGGGTTACTGGCAATATCCACTAACACTAGCTGAACTGAAAGAAGGGAGAAAGGGGAATTCCCAGTCTTGAATAATTAGTTTTAAAGCTGTGAAAGAGATGAGGTGCTGTCTTTGAGCTAATGTTTTACACTCTAAAATATTTAATAGCATGGACTGCACAACCGTCTGCAGCAAACTGCATTTTGAAACACTGCAGGTAATTCAGAAGTGTCAAGATTACTCTTCAAATAAGCTACAAAACCGATGTCTAGGGATAAATGGTAAGCATAAAACTGATGAAACAAGTCTGTCCCAAATATGTTATTCACGACACCCTGCACTTAGCAAATGGATGATGAATCAACTGAATAATTCCCAGAGGAAAAGTCCAAAGAGCACTTCATTCTGGTACTGGAATTAATGACATGCCAAAGTGCGCTTGTAATCATGTATGCATCCATAAGCTGATGACACAGTAATCCTCACAGCAATAACCTTGTTGCAGTGAAACTGTTGTCAGACTGAAAATAGCCTGAATTATTCAATAGGTATCTTAGTATGAATCCACACTAGATCAAAATTAAGCAAAGTTAAATAGAAGAGATTTTGATGAGTCTCACTCAAGAGTACTTATCAACAACAGGTCCATAAAGAATAGCCTGGCTTTGAAAACTAATAACATGCTAATAACAAAACTAATAACTAGTATCACAATGACCCATGCTATGCTCTCTCACTGTTTCTACCCCAAATTTGACTCATTTACTACTAAGATGACATTATCTCTTTCAGGCTCACCAACTCACCAGGAACAGAAATTTATGACATTTGTTTATGAATCAAAACTACAAACAAAAATTCTGTAATAAAAACACTAACAAAAATTCCTGTTTTCAAAAGCTGTGTGAGCTACTCATACAATTGTGTACATATCTCTTTCCTAAGTAATATTTGGGAAGGTTTTATGTATGTGGGAAAGATTTCTTTTAAAATGAAATAATTATAAAACTGCTTTACATTTAAATGATATTAATAGTAATTTAAATAGGGTAGATTTCTTACGTATTACAGTAAATTCCATTCTAACTTTGCACATTTAATGGGAACCTGACTTGTAAAGTTAACTGAGCAAGCTGCTGAATAGAACACTCAAGAAGTAATTGCCATTTTGTCTCTATCACGTCACTCACCTTTTACTTGGCAAAAGTTTTTTATATGGGAATTTTCTCATGGGATCTGATTGGAATAGGATAGAATCCTACACAATGCAATTTATAAAAGGAAAAAAAAAAAGTTTCAAAAGATTTAATTTACCTAAAAAATCACTCTAACTAGAAGAAAAATACACACAAAATCAAAGGTCTCTTCTGTTTACAAATCTTCAGCTGCTAAATGCATACTAAGGTATGCTTCTGACCTGCAGTGTCTCTGAGCTGCAATGCCTAAGATAAAGCTATGAGATCCATAGATTTTTAGACCAGAAAAGACTATTATGATTGTCAAACCAGATTCTTCTAATATAACACAAAGTATTTCAGTCAATAGTTTCTGCC